TCAGTGGACAATGGATAGATTTTAACCAACCGGACTTCTTGCAAAAACTGTGATGAATTTATTGGTTGCACAATTGCACTATTTGTCCTTATAGTACACGATAATAGAAGGGATTTATTTATAATCGCACTATCCGTTGCACGCAGATGAGGATGGGTTCCCTTTTGAGCCTGGTTCCTCTCAAAGTTTCTTCCTCATGTCGTCTCAGGGAGTTTTTCCTCACCACCGTCGCCACTGGCTTGCTCATTAGGGATAAATTCACAGTGATAAATTCAAATATTTACAATATATTTTTTGTGAATCCATTTATTTCTGGAAAGCTGCTTTGTGACAATGTCCATTGTTAAAAGCGCTATACAGATAAAATTGAATTGAACTGAATTCCTAGGGTTACCCACAGTGCCATTCAGCCTCCCCTGCCAGTGGGATTTAACCCTCCCATCATCTCTACCTAAAAAGAACAATGCAGCAGCGCTTTATTCCTTTAGTGTATCCAGCGCTCTCACCTTCTCATCTGTACACTCTGCTCAGGCAAACTTTCAGGGCGAATACCACCGTCAACACCATCGTGCTGTCAGCTCATAAATCACTAACTAGCCATCCTGAATGTCTGGTGTAATTAGGCACAACTGTGCCGTGTAGCTGCATTGCATCCTGGAACTTTGCTCTCTTCATTACTTCTACATTCTCCATTAAATATCATTAATATGATGTTGAACATTGCTGAAAAATGGTGAGTGAGGGGGAAAAAAAGGTCCTGTTCTTTTATTTTTAGGAGTTAACCGCAAACAGCACACAACCCCCAGCTTCTCACAGGAATAAAAAATACAGGACCAACCAACAAATTTCAGTATAAACATATTTAATGTGTTTCAAAGTGGAGTTTTCCTTATGAGTAATAATGGAAGTAAAGAGTCAGATTGAATAGTCATTACGATCGTATGATTTTTACTCTACCCTAATTTTTCGACACAAGCTCAGTTGAATTTCTCCGTACCGTAACTACCACGATTGTCATCATGCCTCTCTCTTCAATACAGGACTATGTAAGTTCTTCTACAACGGCGACCTCCTCCGCCGAGATGTCATCACTGCCAGCATCGCCAAGGTCCAGAGCATCCTCCGTTGGTTTGAAAAACAGAGCCAGTTGAACTTTTACGCCAGCTCTCTACTCTTCGTCTACGAGGGGCTTCCCTTGACCCCGGAGGAGAAATCCAGCACCCGGAGCCTGCAGAAGAACGAAGGGGTTCTGGAGTACAACAACAACATCAAGCAGAGCCTCTCCACCATGTACTCCCTGCACAAGAATAGCTGCATGCAGAGCCGCCATCCAAGCAAGCAGGACAACAGCGCATGGCACGGCCTCACAGAGCTGGACGCCGGCGAGCAGGAGACGCAGGAGATGCCAGCCGAGGTGGAGGTCCGAATGATCGACTTTGCCCACGTCTTCCCCAGCAAGGTCCCCGACCACGGCTACATCTACGGCCTGAGGAACCTGCTCAAGGTGCTGCAGCAGATACTGGATGACTAAAAAAAAAAAAAAAAAAAAAAAAAGTTCTTCTCATGGCTCTTCAGCCATAATGCTCTGCTCATCTCATCAGAGAGGATATTTTTAAAGTTGTAGCTACTCTCATTCCTCTCTCCCCTGTCCAGCTCCTGCACTACCTGGACTACAATGAAGTAACCCATTTGAAAAGCTTGGTCTTATAGTTGGTCTACATGCTCCTGATCGATCTTTTTTTTTTTTTTTTTTTTTTTTTTTTTTTTTTTTAAAAGTGTTTTACTCAGGTAAACCAATTATATGGTCATTTATAGTATTTATCCTGGCAATGGCAGCAAAGAAAAAATCTCACCTTTACACACCGTCTTAACCCTTTCTCTGTTTTGCGTCAGCGTATTAGCTTGTATTTCCCAAGACAAGTTAAACAAGGTATTGTTTTTAATTTGTTTTTCCGTAGGCGTATCATTGCTTCTCATGCCTGTGGTTGGTAAGACTAAGGATTTGGAGTATATAGCCGTCGATTTCTTTAACCTGCGCTGCCAAAATGACCCTGCCTGTGCTTTTTATTTTAAACTTGCGATTTTGACTAGCCTACACAAATTCCCCTGTGTACATATGGTATTATATTTTCTGTGATTTAACCATGCAATATGCTGACCCAATGATGGGGAGGCTCGGCTCTTTATTGACGTTTTAAAAACGGTCAAGTGTATTGATGAGAGATCCTGCCTGTCGTGATTGAAAGAGGAAAAAAAAAAAAAAAAAAGGGAACTTCGGTTCATACCCTTTCCAGCTAAATTTAAGCCATGCTTTATTAATGCTGTATTAGCTGATGAAGTGTTTTGATACACTTTCCTGAATGAATGAAGCTTTATTGTGCAGACGTAGTATTGAGTTGAGTGCGGAAGGCAAAAACCAGCATAGTGATCTTGATTATATATATATAAAAAAAATAATAAATAAATAAATAAAACATAAAAATTCACTGACTGAAAGAGGGAGAAAAAATCACTGGAAAGAAAGAGAGGAAAAACGATTAATATCAAAATTAAGACCAGGATTCTCCGATTTTTCTTTTCCCTCTCAGAGTCATTGGACAGCTATTTTCGAATTTGTTTATTATCCTTAATTTTGCATTGTATTTATATTAACAAATTCTGTTGCAGCTTTGTTTTTTTTTTTAAGCAATCATTTTTAAATTCTAGGGCATTGCAGATTTTATAGATTCTCATATAGGTGCGTAATCACTGTATACACTGACATACTTAATCTGTGAAATGTATTACTCATCTCAAAGCTGATAAGTTGCTTGCTTGATTCTGCATTTACTGCAAATATCTTGAAAGTGTTCTTTTTCCAATGCAATGCATTTCACGTTTTGGTTGGAACGTATACGTCGTACGTCTTGTCTTATGCTGAATGACTGCCGCTGCATTCGACTTGTCTGAAACTCTGATTTAACATTCCTGTTGATTTAAGCAGAACAAGGGCGCGCGTTCTGCTTGTCCCCCAACCCCCCCGGAAGAAGAAAGTCGAGCTCTGAAGGAAAAAGCAAAATTGGAATTGCATGTCTTTGGGCAAAGTCGAAACTACCTGTGTGTCTAATTCTTTGGCTCTTGTCTCACTCTCAGGAATGTATTAGTGTTACAAGGACTTCAAAGTAGTCGAGACATCCGTATGCAAGAACTCGGAGGAAACAGGCCGTGGGCCAGTTAAAGCTAGATGCATTTGTTCTGTAGCATGCGCCACTCATTTGAGGATTTTGTTTGCATTCCAGTTATTTTTGGTCCTGCTAGAACATTTACAGCCTTTATTTTCATTCATGCACTGAAGCAAGTGGAAATACTGTATGATGTATACATCAGCCTTCCTGCTGTGAACTAATCCATTCGTCTCTGATTTGTTTGAAATCTTAAGCTCACTCATAATTATTTGATTTTTTTTTTAAGCAGTTGCACCTGACTAAGATTTGCGCTGGTGCTCAAAGCACTTTAATGATTTGCTAGACTGGATTTTGCCTATGGAACTAGTTTAATTGAACTAATTGTAAAGGCATCTTACATTTCAAAGGTCTTCAAGTAGAAGAATCTAATGTTAACCATTTTGTAACCTGGTTTTGATCTTGCTTTTTGCTTCTTTTTTTTTTCCCCCTGTGGCAAATAAAAGGACTTTTTTTTGTTTTTGTTTTTTTGTATTTACGTTCTCAAAAAAAAAAAGAGAAAAGAAAAAAAAATCAGGGTAAATTTGATCTTAAGTGTAATTAATCTTTGCTGTCCTGGAATATGCAGGCTCATTTACACCCGATGGTTTAAATCCAGCCCATCAAGCAGCAAGGTTGCGCAATAAAACATGGGTTCAAGTAGCCACATTTGAATGGTTCCCCATGGGCCGTATAATTTCTGCAATTCAGAATGCAGAAACACATCTGAAAATTGATCTGTTTTAAGGCGCTGAGGCTCTGGAAGAAATAATCCAGGTTGGGGATCAGTACTGGAATGGCCATTACTCATGTGAACCCTATGTTAATAGACTAAACCAGTTGCAGTTTTTGTAATATAGATGTATAACATGTAATAATCAGACTCGTATATTAGGTGTATATTTGGCAAATCTATCATTATTAATAAAAAATCACTTAATAACGCCTTGTTTGTTTCTTCTTTGAGACACCTCATATTTTGCTTTCTTGTCAAGCAGTGAAGTCACGGAGCTTTGTTTTCCAAAACAGTACATCACCGAGGCTTTTTAGAGGTCAGGATGATCAGTGTACAGTATTTTGTAATATAAACGAATCCTTTCTTTTACTACAGCACTGTTGAAGTCTGGAAACTGTTTGGTCAGAAGGTGCTGATTAAATTTATAGCTGCAGCTCTGACCGCTGTATTGCCTTGTAATTCAGATGCTAGGTTTATATTAATGGGCTTGTTCTAATATGTTGGAATTTTTCTGTAGTAGTCACAGGGACTTGTATGACAGATGCTTCATGTAATCTAAGATGAAGAACAACTGGATTAAAAAATGTTTTTTTTTTAACAAAGAAAAACCTATAATCATTGGTATGATGAGGTTTTCTGTAAAGAGAGGCTTATTTGACATTTATGGAAGGAGTCTCCGGTGCCAGTGCAGTAAGTAACAGTAAGTCTTCCACTGAAGGAAAGACTTCAGGACAGAGGAGTTTTTGCTTTCTCAGCAACATGGCAACAAGAGGAGGAAAAGAGGTTGGTGAGGAAATGACTGTTTATAGCTGCTGTAACATAAGTGATAGCAGGCACTAAATTATTCCACAACAGTAAATGTAACTATAAATGCGATGTTGTTTTTATTCTTTTGGCTGCTCCCGTTAGGGGTCACCACAGTGGATCACTGGTCCGTGTATTTGATTTGGCACAGTTTTTTACGCTGGATGCCCTTCCTGATGCATCCTTGCCCAATTTTATCCGGGCTTGGGCCCGGCATTGCCCTGTGCACTGTCGTGTGCAGCCTTAGTGGCTGGGGTCGGTTCTCTGGCCAGGAATCAAACCCGGGCTGCGGCGGTGATAGCGCTGAGGCCGAACCACTAGCCCTCCAGGGACCCAACTATAAAGCAAGTGTCATTCTGTAATTAATAATAATAAAAAAAAGTAATCGTAGGGAAATTGCTGTGGTATAACAGGAATAAAACACTTCAGGACAATTTATTGCCTTTTTTCCTATAGAAGCATGCCCCTTACTTTATAAGCATTATTGTTCTGAATGACACTAGACTTTATGGAATCGAACAAGATAAAAAGTAACTAAATAAAGTGCGAAAGTGCTACTTCCAGTGCTGAGCCCATCCACAGTGTAACACAGGTTTACAATTTAATGTTACGACCAAGCTTTAAGGGAAGCACATGAGAGCTACGTCTCAAGGTCGCAATTCTTTTCTCAATTCTCACGTCTCATTTTTTTAAACCAAAAAAATAAATATGAAAAGAAAGTCAAAAGCCAAAACAAAGAAAGAAAATGACAAGGGAGGGAGGGAGGGAGGGAGGGAGGGAGAGCTTTATTAGCATCATTGTTCATTTTAAAGGCCTGGAAAACTCCCATAAGACCAACCTGATGGCTGATGGATGCAGGAATAACCTGGCTCCCCCTTTAATTATGCATAAAGAGAGCAGATACAAAAAACAAACCGAAAAAACAAAAACGAGTCTAAGGTGTCATCATTTGTGAGACACTTTCAGATTTAAACAGCGCAGGACAGGGCATGTACATGGATCAGTTTGTCACCATGGCAAGCAACACTGCACATCAGTGTGGAGCTGTCACTCTTCACTCGCCTTACTCTCGCTTAGGCCCAAAACATGACACACAGAGGTGGCCTGGTTTTACACAGATCAACAAAAACGCTATGCATCTAATACCAACGAGACAGGATTACAGCCCAGTAGTGCTCTGTGATAGTGTGTGTGTCTCTGCCTGTCTGCCCACACAAACACACACACTGCAAGAACTATAGAAGGCCATGACTGGATTCCAGCTTGTCAGTTAGTTTTTCAGCCAAAACCCATTCCCTCTCCTCGCCAGGCAGCACAGACCAGTGTTTAAATATTGATGATTGAGGAACAGGAACAGGGATGATTGTTCATTGATATGTCACATTTTATTAAGTGTGCTAAATTTATTCTGGATTTTGGGAAGTGAGAAAATATGCATGGGGTCTATCTGTGCATTTTCATGACTGGATTTAACATGACCTCCCATCACAAGTCTGACCACTTGCTGCACAAGGGAAGAAATATGGAGTGGGGAACTCTTCAAGCAAAAAATTTGACAGCAAACCTTTTGACAAAAAAAAAAATTGTTGGTCATTTTCAAAATGTAATTATGCTGTAAACGAACTTACAAAACCCATACATTAGACATTTTTACTATTATTGTTGCAGCAAGCTCTGTCCCATTTTACCATCTATCTTATTTCTCTATTCCTGTTATCCTTAACTTTATCCTTATTCCTTATATCTCTGTTCCATTTGACCATTCATCTAGTATTTTTGAGTGCCGTGGCACAAAGTAACATTGCAGTGTTTTACCTTATTACCTTATCATAACTGAAATTGCAGTGTTTTACCTTATTACCTTATCATAACTGAAACTGAGAAGTAAAAATGACTTTCCCAACACTGACTAAGAAGTATATTTATATTTTTTCATTAATCAACAATGGCATCTTGAAGGGTTTGAGTCAAAATTGTATGTTTCCTCTGATGATATCCTCTAGGTGGCACCAGTATATGCATCAAGATTACACTGCTGTTCCCAGTGTTGCCAGATTGCACTATATCCCTATATATTCAGCAATTTTTAATGACATGAAATATGTAGCCAGGGGCTGGCAGATATAACTTGGCGAAGTTCTGAGCTGGTTTATGTCGAATCAGATGGGTGATTGGGTTTGGAAACAAGTCCATTCAATCTGGCATCCTTACGAGAAACAATCTGGCAACGATGATTGTTTTCAAGTTGATCCATCATAGTATAAGCTGCTCAGCATGAGATTGACGCCCTGAGCTTCTGCAATGCTGTTGAGTACAGACAAAATGAACCATTCTTTAAGAAAGATTAATTTGAATTTCCCAGAAACATGCTGTGCACACTCCAGGGATTGATTTGTTTCATGGGGAGGAAAATGAGCAATTATAATGTACGCTGATGGTTATAGTGGGGCTGGAGATCCTGCAAATATACTGCACAGAGTATAGCCTACAGAGAGTTGCCAGTTTGGACACCTTCCCATTCAATTAGGGAGTTTCTTAATTATATTGCGCTGACATCAGAAAGGCCGTGATATGATTTAGATATCCATTTAGATGTCACTTAGATTATAATGTTGTTATAATGATTTAATTTAGATATCATTTAGAGTCTGTTTTAAAGGTTACATTAGGTTTTAAAGTTGACTTAAACTTAAAGATTATATTTATTTTATACAACAATTAGTTCCAGTCCACTAATTTGATTGGTTGAGCGGCATTTCAGGAGTGCTTATATTTCCTATAACCTCACTGGGACGTTTCACTGTGTGTATCACTGCACTTGTCTGTGTTCACTACATAAAAGTCCACTTCCAGGTTTGAAACTGTTACTACAGTAACAGTAACTACAGTACTACTGTTACTACTGTTGCTACAGTAACAGTAACTACTAGTGTTAGCGACATCATCATCCACGGACATGGCGAGCGATACTTTTCAGGAACATAACTTCGGCTTAAAATATGAAAGCTCGTCAGTCGAAGATGAAAAAGAAGAATTTTACTGGACATGCCTTTAAAGGGAACGTGCAAATTAAGGTGAGCTAGCTAGCCAGCTAGCCGACGTGCTATAAAGTGAGTGTGGCTACTTTGGGATCTATTTCCAATTTCCAAAAACAATCAGAATATTTGTCCATATTGTGTCCGAAATGTCATTTACTTGATATTAATTTCTTGTTTATAGGACTGATATATAAAAGCAATATTGAGCAAGAGTGCAGTACTGAATATCGGCACGGCTGTGATTCGTCGGAGACACGAGCTCGCAGGGCAATATTGTGCAGATGTTGCTTAAATATATGAAATAATTCCTTGATGTAACAATTACACAGACAACTCTAAAAAAAAAAAAAAAAGTTAAAGACTAGCCATGTTATATGAATATGCCAACTGCAAACACTAACCCTACAAGCTCACACTCCTTTCCTCTGATAAACCAGTGTAATGTCTGTTTTTGCACATTGAAACATGATAGGCTCAAACATTTTATGACATAATAAAACCTTCCTGTCACATGTTCAATCCTACCTCAGTCCTAGTGAGACTTCCAGCTCCTCTCTCTTCTCTCTTTCTTCAAAGAATGCAGGAGCACTACAGTTTTCCCCCAAAACTGTTTCATCATAGAAAACACATTTTATGAAATTTAGAATGACCTTTAACCCACTGGCCTTGAAATAAGAAATCCAGTTTCACCCTTCTGACCATTAAACACACAACCATATAAACTCCTGGTGCACTAAAAAACTCAATAAACCCTGGAACTTTAATTTTTGTATAATTGTTTGGTGTTTAACATTGTTTGGAAGTGCTTATCTTCTACTCAGCTTGAGGGATTTGGCACTGTGAATAGATTAATGTGCTGGCCACTGGCAATTCTGGCAAACCTGCAATATTTGCTGAAACAGGCACATATATTTTACTCACGTTACAATTTTTTTTCCCGCTACAAGCTTTATTGAGTTATAAATAATGCAGCAGTATTTAGTCTTAAAGGCGGTGAGATGAAGACATCTCCTCCCATGTGGCAAAAGCCTTGCAGGCATTAGATATTTTGATTTGAGATGTTCAGTGCAGTAAACAGCATCTTCCATACCAAGAAATGATCTCTGCTATTGATTGTCTAAGCTGATAAATTTCTACTAGCTGAGATCTCAATCCCTTAAGGGTTTCAGCTAACTTACTGATTGGGTTCAGTATTGAGAGCGTCCTTTCAGGTCTTAATTACGAGTCAGTTAATTAGACTGTTTGTGTTGAGTGTGAATTAAAGATTCTACCTTTACAAACCACACAGACACAATACATGTCAGTGTTCCCTCTCATGTGTCAGTGTCTGTGGTGGCTTTAAAATAATATGACTATAAGTCTCAACCTTTCTTCACTAGATACTCATGCCTGGATACTGTAGATTTGGACATAAGAACTGTTGCTATAATCATAGAAAATGTGATGCTCGTCCTTTCAACACACTTAGTACTGTTCGACTTTACAGTATACAGCTGTAGAAGAGTAATGATTTATAAACCCAATATCCAGTGTCACCCAGAAGAGGATAGATTCCCTTTTGAGTCTGGTTCCTCTCAAGGTTTCTACCTCATGATGTCTCAGGGAGTTTTTCCTTGCCGCTGATGCCTCTGGCTTGCTCACTAGGAATCTAAAAGTATATTTGGATTTCTGTAAACCTACTTTGTTATAATGTCTTTTGAGATGTCATGGACATTTACAAGACAACTCAGAATTACAAATCATACTTGATATATCGCTCTATAAACATATTTGAGGAAATAGTTGAAATGTCTTTGGTCTGTCCCAAATTGCAGACTATATAAGACCTTTTAAATACAAGAGTAAACTAGTACTATACTACATTTATCTATTTGACCAATGCTTTTATCAAAAGTGACTTACAGCCATCCAGGACTTTATTCCTTATCTGCATCACCACAGATTTCAAATATATTTTTGTGAAAATACAATTCAAATTATTGTCCAGTCATTGTTATTTACTGTATAATTTCTTGTATAAGTAAACCATGGGTTCACAAACTTTTTGTAGCTGAGAACCCCTTTAACTGAAAAATAAATTCCACACATCATAACATAGATTTTTTATGAACATAATCCAACAATTCAAATATTATGCACTGAGCTCACTTCTCCATTTTGCTCCATATAGTTACTATTGTACCTATAGGTCAAAAAAGGTAACTGCAACACGCACTAATAGAGGCCCATTGGGACAGGAATCACGCTGCCCCATGCTCGCTCTGTGAACAATTTCAGTGAAGGAGGAGCAGCAG